ACTGGGTTTTAGCTCAAACCCAGGACATACATGCTGCTTCCTCCTCAGGAAGAAGGGTCCTCACAGTCTTCCTCTGCTGCAATGTGGTGCCTGTCTCATGGGAGAGAGGCTTTCTCTTCCACCTGAGACCTTTCTCTTCCACCTTTCTATTCCACCTGTTCCCACCCACAGGCTACACTGTCGTCTGCTCCAGCATGGGTCCTCCTTACAGCTGTGGTTCCCTTTGGGCTTGTCCTCTGCTCCTGTGTGGTCTCTCTCTCCCTCGGCATGAGGTTCTCTGTATGCTGCTGCATCTTGGACGTTTTGCTGCTGTCAGTCTCCTCGGTCTGCAGGGTCTCATCGTGCCATCTCACCACCTCAGTCTGCAGGGACATGTCTGCTCTGGTGCCCTTCTCCTCCTGCCTTTTTCCTCTCTGACAGCAGAGTTTCTCTCTCTCACCTCCCCCTGCAGACCAAAACAACTTCCCAACACAAAAGACAGGACAAAGAGATTGGCCCAACAGGTTTCCATTCTTAAATACATTAATCACAGAGGTGCTGATTTTACCTGGGGCTGGGGGAGGCTCTAGAAGTTTTGCAAGGATCCACCCCCACAGCCCTCTGGCAGCTACCAAAAAAACCTGACACAAACCCATGAGAACTGCCAGGTTCAGCAAAGGAATTATAATGTTATTTTGTGCTCCTGCCATGCACTTCAGTCACTCTCATCTTCATGGTAACCTCTGGGTATTGGAGTGCTGCTGTTTGGAGCCCCTGCAGCCTTCCTTTTTCCAGGCTAAACAAGTACAGTTCCTTCAACATCTCTTTGGGGCAAGTGCTCCACTCCCTGACCATCTTCATGACCCTCCAGTTTATTGGTACTGATGATGTAACGTGTTGCGGGGGGTGGCCAAAACTGGCTGTTGACTGGAGAGTGATGAGTACATAGCCAGTTCTGTTAATTTGTTTTTTTTTTTCTATTAATAAAAACAAGGATGTTGTTAGCCTTCATTCTGGGCAGGGTGCAGTGTTCATTCATGTTCAGTTGCTGAAACCTCCCAGGTGACTGATGGTTACGTTAAAGCTGACTTGTTGGGTATATATATCTGGAGTACTGCTTTTGTGAGATATATGTTCTGATTTAGCCTAGTATTTTTGTTATTACAGCCCTGCAAAGTTTTCTCTGCCCACTGGACTGGTTCGTCTGGTTAGTAAGCAGATCAACTGGCACCTAGTACTTGCAAGGTAACCAGCTTACATGCTTTTCCTTTTTTGCCAGTAGTGAATGTGTTCATGATTCCTCTCCTCCCCACACTGTCCCTATTGGTAACAATGCTGACTTATGTTTCAGAGTTACAGTTTGTGCTGAAGTCACATTAAGTCAGAGAAATACTGGAGGCTTTCACAGGTAGCCTTGGGCAAAAAAGGTCATTCTCTTACCTAAGGGCTTCCACACTGTTTCTCTTCATTTAGGACATCTCTCACTCGAATCTGAATGGTGTTCAGGCTTTTGAGGCAAAGTGGCTTTCAGTACAGTTGTTCTCAAACTCAATTCAAGATATGTAGTATAAATTGCTTATTTTAAAATTTACAATAGCAGGCTTGTGTGTATGGGGAGAAGTGAGAGTTCCAAGACCAGAACCAGCTGTTCTGAGTAATTTTAGCAGCATCAATATGATCACTGGCTTCTAAAAGTAAGCATAAATATGTACTGAAAAAATGGTTCGATGACATGAAGGTAGTATGGAATGCTATAGTGTATTCTGTTTTATCGCTGAAGATGGAATTTCAGAATGCATTGGGTTGGAAGGGACCTTTAAAGGTCATTTAGTCCAACACCCCTGCAGTGAGCAGGAACATCTTTTAAGTAGATGAGGTTGCTCAGAGCCCCATCAAGCCTGACCCAGAATGTCTCCAGGGATGGGACCTCAACCACCTCTCTGGGCAACCAGTTTCAGGGTTTCAGCACCCTCGCAGTAAAGAACTTCTTCCTGATACCTAGTCCAAATACACTCTGCTCTGGAGTTACATGCCCTTGTAAGCAGCCTCTCCCCAGACTTCCTGTAGACCCCCTTCAGGTAGTGGAAGGCCACTCCAAGGTCTCCTTGTAGCCTTCTCTTCGCCAGGCTGAACACCCTCTCTCAGCCTGTCTTCATAGGAGAATTCCTCCAGCCCTCTGATCATTTTTGTGGCCTCCTCTGGACCCGCTCCAACAGGTCCATGTCCTTCCTTTATTGAGGGCTCCAGTGCCCCAGGTGAGCTCTCACCAGAGCAGAATTAGAGGGGCAGAATCGCCTCCCTTGACCTGCGGGTCACACGTGTTGTGATGCAGCCCAGGGTGAGATTGGGCAGCAAGCTGGGCTACAAGCACGCATTGGTGGTCCCATGTCTGCCAGTACCCCCAAGTCCTTTTCCTCAGGGCTGCTCTCCATCACCTCATCCCCCAGCCTGTGTTGATAATGAGGGTTGCCCTGGCCCAGGTGCAGGACCTTGCACTTGGCCTTGTTGAACCTCGTGAGGTTCACATGAGCCCGCTTCTCCAGCTTGTTCATGATCAGTGGCTTCACAAGAGTTCTGTGCTGTGGAGAGAGGTGGGGATTGTTCTGAGGGAAGCGATGCCAGCTGCACTGTTGTATGTTAGGTGTACAGAGAGGTGACCTGCTCCTAAGGAGATGACGTAATGTACTGAAGTATGATAGTCATTTGTTCGAGTTAAAGCAGTACAAAGCTTTCGATATTGCTATTATAATTTTTTACATAAATAACATCTGATTCTGGCCTCCCCTGCAGCAAGATTTTAGACGTTGTGTTAGTGCTACTAGAAAAGAATGACATATTTCAGTGACGTGAAGGGAATATTTATTATAATGATTTTTTTTTGTATATAAAAATTGACATTTCCCAATTTGTTTTGATTTATGAAAGAGGAAATTTATACCTACCCTTGCAGGAAAGCACCTAGAGCTCTGTTGTACATTCTGTAAGGACTGGACTTTAAATGAACATTTACACCTATATTTTTTTTCTTTCAGCAATGGTAAATTGTTGGCAGTTGTTCAAGACCAGTGCGTAGAAATCAGGTAAATTAGAGTTACCTATTGCTTCATGACCACAGTTGTGGAGTTCTGAGAATATGTTTCTAGTAATTTACTAATTGTACTTCTAAAGATTTTTTTTTTTTTTAAATATTATATATGGTGAAAAGTAAGCTATGGAATAATCTTAAGATGTATTGTCACTTAGCAGAAGCCTTCTATTTTGTCCCAGTTCTAGGGCATTCCCCATTAAAAACATCAAAAAACAACCCCTCCGAAACAAAACCCCCCCAAACTTTCCACAGTTATGAATGTTATAAATAAATGTATGTAAGTATCTGTCTGTATCTTCTTCACGTTTCAAGTTGTGAAAGCAAAAAATCAAGATGCTTCATTATACTAAACACAAATCATGGTCTTTCTGACCTTTGCCTTTCTGTTCCCCCTCAAAATTCACCCTGAATAAATGGGACGAGGAACTAGTATTCTGCTTCTCTAGAGGGTAGCTGGCATGTGTAATACTTCACCTTATTTACAAGTAATGTGGATTGCTGTGAAGACTGATGCTTTCCCTTTTTCCTCCTGTGCCTTAACAACAAGCTCTCCTTTGCCCATTCAAGAACACATTTAGCTATAGAATAGATCTTGATTGAGTGTGTTTACTTGCTTCAAAAAAATCCATTTGCTGGAAGGTCAGACCTTCTATTTGTATGTAAAAGAAGCAAGTGTATGAAAATTGTTCAATCAGAAGTGATGTGAACACCATAAATGTCAGCTTATAGACTATAAAATAAATCTTGTGTTTCAGCTGTATTAATGTAACTATATTCTTGCATTGTTTCTAAAATTGTAACCTAGAGAATACAATTTATTTTTTTTTTCCCCTGAAGTTATGTGCTGAAGTTCTGAAATGCTATTGTCCTCGTTTGACCAGCATTACTACTGAATGGGGGGTATTAGTATTTATGTGTTGGGAGGGGAGGGTAGCTGCCCAAGGGTGAAGGCTACTATCTGACTATCTGTAGGCCTTTGAATTGTGCACATAGACTATTTTTATAGTGTTCTGTTTATTCTGGAAAATGGAATAACATTTTTTTTCTTCTGTAAATCTTTTTTTGCAGATCTGCAAAAGATGACTTTGGATCCATAGTTGGAAAATGTCAAGGTACACAGTATGGCAACCTCATTACTTAGTGTCATCAGCGTTTATTATTCATGCATTGCTAAGTGATGGTGCTGATTTACTTGGAAGTTGTAACTTCTTAAAAGCGTTTGGAAGAATCTCTTAATAATTTTGTGCTGTGACCAGCTCCATTACCCTTCTTTCCCATCTTCTTTTCATGATACTTAATGTATAAAACTTAATTCTGAAATGAAATGATAGTTAAAATTAATGAGTTTGTGAGACATAGCAAGTGTTGGAGGGTTTTGGTTTTCTTTTCTTTTTTCCTTCTCTCTCTGAGATAAGGTTGTAATTTTTCTTCCTTTTTCATAGTGCCAAAGGATCCTAATCCTCAGTGGAGGCGAGTGGCATGGAGTCATGATTGTACGTTACTTGCTTATGCTGAAAGCACTGGAACAGTGAGAGTGTTTGACCTAATGGGTAGTGAGCTTTTGGTCATCTCACCAGTAAGTGCTTTCTTAGATTAGGTATTAATGTAATAGAGCTTTTTGTAAGGATAAAGGGTAATTTCCACTCTTTAGCTTTTCTTAAACCATGGCTTAATTTGGTGTAAATGCTTGCAGTATAAATACCATGCACAAATGTATCATGAAGTGTTTATTGTATGATGGATATATTGTAGTTAAACTTAAGTCGTGTAGCACTTGCAAAATGTATCCTTTAGGCTGTTGTGTCTAGTTAGAATCTTCTTTTTCTTAGAATTGTGGTAGATCTGTGGATACATCACATCGTGAAAGTATAGAATTACCTAATTAGAATATGTGAAAATAATTAGAATTTGTAGTAGTTGATTGCAAATCTACAGTTTATGTACGCAGAGTCATTTATAAATCAAGAAATGTAACTGATAAAACAATATGAGGATTTTTTTTCTTTGGTATGAGAATAGACAATTGCTGTTGGCTTGCCCCACATGATGTATTTTATGTTTTGCATATTCAAGGTTATATCATACTAATTTGGGACAGTGATCTTTGTATATTTCCTTTGTATGTTGTCTTTATAGATTTTATAGTAATAAGATTTCTTCTCAGTCAAGATAAAAGGAAGTGTGTCGTCCTTCTAATATAAACTATGGAACTGTTTTTAATACATTTTTATACAAGGTGGTAAATTTAACTTCCTGGTTCTTTCAGTAATGAAGACTTTTTTTTTTTTTCCTTCTTCTTACATCCCTTTGCTCTCTCAACGTCTGTCTGCATTTTTGGGTAAAGACAGCAAGTTTTCCAGGAGATCTGAGTTATGCTATTGCTGGATTAATCTTTCTAGAATACAAAGCAAGTGCCCAATGGTCAGCTGAACTGCTTGTTGTTAATTATCGTGGAGAACTGAGAAGTTATCTTGTCAGGTAAGCATCAGTTTTTACTTACTTTGAGAAGGCACAGTGAACTTCAAAGTACTTCTTTCCACTGTTGAAAGAAAATGAATTTGAAATAACGTATGTCTTTCCCCCCCCCCATATTTAGTGTTGGAACAAATCAGAGCTTTCAAGAAAGTCATAGTTTCAGCTTTAGCAGCCATTATGCCCATGGAATAACTACTGTAATTTATCATCCGGGTCACAGGTAAGTGTTCAGTTTGCTACCTGCCAATAATATGGAAATGATGAACAAAAGTGGCAAAATAAACTTTGAAGTCTGTTAGTTTTGGTTTTTTTCCCCCTCCCCCTCCTTATCCATCTTAAGATTGATATTTAGTGGATCAATAATAGCAAGTTGTGTATCTTTGTACTTATGAGAAAAAGCCCTAGATGATGATCTTGCTTAACTTGATTTTCATTATTTTATTCCTTAGTAATGTCCATTATTGTCTGAGTACCTTGCATAAGCAGCATTTTTTGGAATGTCAGGAATAGATGTTTCTGAATTTGATGGAGGTAAAGGTGGATGTATAAATTTGGTTGCTTTTTTTCTGTCTGGATTGAATTTGTGGACTTGTTGGCCAGCCCATATTCCCTGGTGTTCTGACTGGAAGTGCCAGCATTTGGTATTGCTTTGTGATGTGTTTTCTCTATTTGTAATGTGTTGAGTACAGATACCAGACTTGAAAGATGGACTAATTAACTGCCTGCTCTTGAACCAGATGTAGTTGGAATAGGACCTGGTTAGCCAATTACTTATGTTAAGAATGTGTCTACCTTTTTAATATCTGCTTTTTGTGTCAAAACTCAGCGACTTATTTTTCTATTTCTATGCAGTTGTAGGAACTAACCTTACTTTTAGGTATTTTTCTGATGATAGATCTAGTAGGATTGAATTTGTCAGTACAATATGTCGTTATATTGTTTTAAATGGAAATTAAATTTGGCTACAGAATACAAGAAGAAACTTGCTGTTTAAAAACTTGTTCTCGTTCTTCAATATTAAGTGAACTGTCCTATCTGTCTTAAGAAAAAAAAGATTTTTAACGAGAAATAATATTCTTATTACTGTGTTGCTTATTACTTTGTCTGATTAATTTTGAGTATGATTTCTTATTTCTGCCTAGTTCTTATCTAGTAATTCCTCATAATTCATAGAATCATAGAGTGGGTTGGCTTGGAAGATACATTAGAGATCATCTAATCCCAGCCCCCGTGCTGTGGGTAAGGACACCTTCCACTAGATCAGGTTGCTCAAATCTCCATTGAGCCTGGCCTTGAACACTTCTAGGGAGGGATAAACCCACAAATTCTCTGGACAACCTGTGACAGTGTTTCAACACCCTCACAGAAAAAAATTTCTTCCTAATAGCTAATCTAAATCTACCCACGTTCAGTTTGAAACCGTTACCCCTTATCTTATCACTACATCCTAAGGAGTGTGGTCTGTGTCAAGGCCTCTTATCTTCTGAGGTAGCTGCTCTAGTGGGTGCTGGGATCTGAGCCTGGCAGCACATCACCACAATTGCTGACAAACATGAACAAGGGTAGTTTCTGACCATCATTTTCTGCAACTGCAGTGCAAAATGCTGCGTCTGTTTGCAGCGGTTGGAAGGATTCCCCACCGTTACTGATCAGGAGTCATCTGGAACAGAAGTTCAAAGCACTCTTTGATCAGGAACAGCAGTCAGGCTTTCGTAAAAGCTTCTAGAGCATGCTAGCTAGCTCCTTCTGGCAATGGCAGGCATCGTGAAGTTCCTCAAAGACTTCCCAGGAGTCCTCTGGTGAACCCAGAAGTATATAGAAGATCTGAAAAGGAGCTCAGAAACAGCTGCGCCAGCTGCTGCTTGCTAGCAGTGCTCTGTGTAGAAAACACGTGCGAGAATAAAAAATATTTAAGATTTTAAGTACTAAAGGGTGTTGCATTGATCTTGATGGCCATAACAGTATTATAGACAAAACTTTCCCTTCTAAGCAGTAACTATTGTCATATATTAAGTTAATGTTGCTTTGTCACTCATTTGGAGTGGCCTAAAACTACAGCTGATGTGGTGTGATTTAAGAACCCAGGTATTTGGCCAGGAAGAAGCAGCTTTTTATGTTACTGGAAAAAAAATGTTGTTGGCATGGTGTCTTCTTCCTCAGACTGAGACCAACTTTAAAAAAAAAAAAAAAGGAAAGAAAACAGGTAAAATCCTTCTCCTGTTGCTGTTTCAAGTCTACCTGTCAGCTTGGTATTTTGGAGTCATCTCCTGTCTAGTCCTGAAAAAATAATGGGTCAACAAGGCCAGATATTTGCTGAGGCTCTCAGGAATATCTTTCATTTTCTTTTAATGCCAGTTCTGTTATTGATCTTAATAGTTTCTGCCCCTGCTGTTGCATTTTGCTGTCTGAAAAGCTTTAAAAAAATTTTAAATACGTGCTGCCATGATGAGTTTCTCTGCAGTCTTAGGAAATGGCTTTTTGTCTTGAGGCTGTGTGTTTTGTTTGTGTCTAAACTGATATGACATCTTAATTCTAGCTGTCATTGAGTTTTGTTTATCCTGAAAGATATTTCCAAATTAGAAATATGTTGCACTGTATGTGACATTTTTTTCCAAAATTCCTTTCCAAAGATTTATCTTCATGGAGTTTTTTTGAGAGGTTGTTGAGGCAGTTTTGGAGCTACTGCTGTCACTATTATTGACAATTCTTCTCTTGGTCTTTGTGCTACTATTTGTCTCTTAGGCAGCTCTGGCACAGTGCGGTCAATTGTAATTGAGTTCTAGGCAGAGCTGCTGTTGAAATTTTTAATTCAGAGGCATGTTGCAATGGAAGTTGGAGCTTTTGGAAGGATTCAGGTGCCTATGGATGGGCAAGACTGTAGAAGAAATAATCTTCCAAAAGATTATGTCTGCTGTCTCTTGGTTATTAAGAATTGACACTTGTGTTGCGGTGATTTCATTAAGTCATTTCTTGATTTTTAATTTTTATAAAGCTTTCCTTATGTGAAAGAAACAGATGTGAAACTTGCATTCTCTGTTAAGAAAAAGTTAGAAATTAATCACTTTACATATGATTGGCCCTGAGAACGTCTGTCAGAGTTTTAAGATGTGATTTCATGTTCATTGATATTAGACTGTGTGCTCAGATGTGAGTACCCTAACATGTTTATTCTTGCCTAGCTAAACTGGACAGAACTGTGCGTGGACATAAATGCACTGGACATAAATGCACCATGTGTGCAGGGTACATAGATGTTTTACTCTAAAACCTTTCCGAACTGTTACAAGGAACTTCCTGAGGTGTGCTACCTCTCTACTGAAAATTCATTTGTTTGGTAAAGCTGCAAGATATTTGAAAACTTGCTATTTCCTAGTTTTTAAGTGAATTTTTTTCAACAGCTGTGTAGCATGTCTAGAAGATGGCTTTTGTATGAGTTAGGGGCAGCTTTTATTGTTCTTTGATCAGTGGCAGTGTGTCAGGTTTCTCTGATAGAATGATCATAGGCAGAGGAAAGTTGGAGAACAGAAATGTCAGGTAGAAGGAGAATAAAAAATATACAGAAGGGAAACAAACAAATGGATTATTAAATATATGACATTTAATCTTTCGAACTTTTTCTCTCCTCAAGTGCACCTTTCCCCAGTAATCAACAGAAAATTTGATATTAAAATAATTGCATCTGATTTCCTCAGGTTTTGGAATATGGTATTGCCTAAATATTCTGTTTTTTCAGTGTCTGCTTTGCATTATTATTATTTTTAACCAACCCCTGTAGTCTCAGAAACAGAGATGTCCTTAGGTCATAGAATCAGTAAGGTTGGAAAAGACCTCCAAGATCATCAAGTCCAAATGTCAACTCAATGCTACCATGGCCACTGAACCACGTCCTGAAGTGCCACATCTATGTGTTTTTTTGGACAACTTCAGGGATGGTGACTCCACCACTTCCCTGGGCAGCCTGGTCTAATGCTACACCATTCTTTTAGTAAAGAAATTTTTCCTACTATCCAACACTAACATCACTATAACCTCCTTTCAAGTAGTTGTAGAGAGTGATAAAGTCTCCCTTCAGCCTCCTCTTCTCCATACTAAGCCATCCCAGTTCCCTCAGCTATTCCTCATCAGACATTGTCTCCAGACCCCTCACCGTCCTCGTTGCCTTTGTCTGGACACACTCCAGCACCTTGATGTCTTTCCTATGCTGCAGGGCCCAAAACTGAATGCAGTGCTCAAGCTGTGGCCTTGCCAAAGCTGAGTAGAGGGGCATGATCCTGCTCCTGCTGACAGCACCATTCCTGATACAGGCTAGGGTGTCATTGGTCTTCCTGGCCACCTGAGCACACTGCTGGCTCATGCTCAGCCGGCTGTCCACCAACACCCCCAGGTCCCTCTCTGCCTGGCAGCTCTCCAGCCACTCCTTCCCAAGCCTGTAGCGCTGCTGGGGGGTTGTTGTGGTCAAGGTACAGGACCCGGCATTTGGCCTTATTGAAACTCAGGTGACTGGCCTTGGCTCAGTGATCCAGCCTGTCCAAATCTCTCTGAAGAGCCTCTCAACCTTCTAACAGATCAACACTCCTGCTCAGTTTGGTGTCGTCTCTGAATTTACTGAGGGTGCACTCAATCTGTTCACCCGGATGATTGATAAAGGTATTAAGCAAGACTGGCCCCAAAACCGAGCCATGGGGGACGCTGCTTGTGACCAGCCGTGAACTGGATTTAACTCCATTCACCACCCCTCTCTGGGCTCAGCCATCCAGCCAGTTTTTAACCCAGCAAAGAGTAAGCCATGAGCTGCCAGCTTCTCTAGCAGAATGCTGTGGGAGATGGTGTTTAAGGCTTTACTGAGGTCCAGGTAGACAACATCCACAGCCTTTTCCTCATCCACTAGATGGGTCATCTGGTCATGGAAGGAGATCGGGTTGGTCAAGCAGGACCTGCCCTTGAGGAACCCATGCTGGCTGGGCCCAATCCCCTGGATGCCCTGTGCGTGCTGTGAGCGCACCCAAGGTGAACTATTTATCAAGGTCGTGCTTGTGCTTACTATTACTTGCAGAACAAAGTATTCTTACTAGTATTTTGAGTTAAGGTGGTGCCTTGGCAAGTTCCTCTGAGTTCCTGTCTAAATATTTACTTGAGAATTGTCCCACCAGTTGCCCAGAATGAACAATCAGAATCAAACATTTTGTGTTGACTGGAAACTTAAAATGTAGAGCTACTTAGATTTATTTAAGATGTGAAATTGGTTGCATAAAAGACTTAACGCAGTCCTACATTGTTCAGAAAGATGTATGCGCTGTAGGAGTTCTTTGGCATTTTCACACAAGGATTGCTGTGCTCACTGAGCAACAGTCTCACTCTCTTTTTAACTAGTACTGTTTATGGCAAAGTTTCTTCTGTAATCTACATAATGCTGAAGTACAATCCTCCCTTGCTGCTGTGTCTGTGTCGGAGTTCTCTTGCTGATTGCCTAATACCACGCTTTGCTAGTTGCTTTCATCCTCATAATCCAATTGCTTTGCAAAGTAGCTATGGGAAAACTAGTAGATGAATTTTAGGTCTGCTTTCTTCCTATATTATTGCTACAAAAAATGTATGGTGATTACTCAAGGAGCATATTTGCTTCCACATGCTATTCAGGTTACCAGTTTTAAGGAGTCTGAGCTGCCCTACTCATGGTAGATTTCCTTGACTCTAATAGGAAGGAATATACTCCTTAAATAATAACATGATTTCTCCTTGCTGTACTCCAGCAAGAATCCACTGTGCCATGGATGCCCAGCCTTTCATATTCTAAAGTTAAACAGCAGCTTAAGCGAGAAGTAATTACTCTTAGCTGTGCTATGCTTTACTTGCTGATCATAAAAGCAAGACAAAATCACCTTTTTTCCTGTGAGTTATGATGGTAGACTGAGAGTCTTCTATTGCTCTTTCTGAGGAAAGTGGTCAAAGTGATTTTTTTTTTTTTTCTTGCTGTCTTAGGCAAATCTGTAGACCACAAAAGAATTAAAACTCAAGAACCTTGACAGACTGTAGGTATCCACGGTATAAGTTAACTTGCTGTATGTTGGTGAATAGCATGAGACTTAAATGTGGAAGGGATTTTTTTTAATTATTCTTTCAGTTGACTTTTGCAGGAAATATTTTGAAATACACTCAAATTACGAGTGTCAGCCGCTAGGTGGTAGAGTGTTTCAAGAGTAATGCAGACTTTGAAAATTGATAAAGGAGTGTTCTCAAGACTCAAGTTCTGGCCTTTCCAATCTGTGCCTTTTTTTCCAGATACTTTACTTTTTGATGGGTTCTTCACTAAAATGATGCTTCCAAACAAGCTTATACATCTGTTCTCAAAGTTTTCATCAAAGTCATCATCAGTTAAATATACAACTGCTTTTTAATAATGTGAAAGGGGTTCAGGGAATATATTTTGCTACATTTTAGTGGTAATCAGCAGTAATTGTAAGATTTCCCTCAAAGTTTGTAAAATATGATCTACTGAGTGTAACAAAATTGTTGCATGCACATTATAATTGGTAGAGTGGCTTTAGAAAAGAAAATCTGAAAACATCTTGACACATTCTGTTCCTCAGTAAAAGAGAAGTAGCTTTTGTATCACATCTGAATAAATAAATACCTAATGCTTGAAAAGAGCGACCGGAACTTTTTCATAAGGTTGAGCTGTAATTTTTATCATTCTTTGAGAGTAGAGGAGAGACTCAGATTTATAGCCAGACATATTTTTTTTCTTTTTTTTGTTGGGAATGACGCCTTATTCAGAAAACTAACAAGATTAGATGCAGATAAATTCCACAAATAAGAAGTGTTACTCAATATTTAAACCTTTTTAAACTTTAGGGTGTTCATTCACAGACAGACCTTACTGGAGCTCTTAGGTGTCTTATTATACTTAGTCTTTTTTGTTATTGCAGTCAGACCGATGTCATTCTGACTTAAGATGATTAAAAAAAACAAACAGCGATGAAGTTTATGTGGCAGTATATGAAAGTAATATGCTTTTATATATTTTACAGACTTCTCCTTGTAGGAGGCTGTGAAACAGATGAAGATGGAGTGTCTAAAGCGACTGGTTGTGGGATATCTGCTTGGAGAGTTCTTTCAGGCTCCCCCCATTATAAACAGGTCCCTAGTTATGAAGATGACGTTAGAACAGTAAGTACATTTCGTCATTTTACTGGGTAAATATTGTCACTGACAGAATCATCTAATCAGAAGTCCAATATGAATTGCCTTTTGAAAGAAGAATTTAATGCAATGATTTGCTATTTTGTAAGCTATGATATGAGCTTGTAATAAGTTATCTCTTTCTCCTTCCCCCCAGCATCTGTCGATTTTTGGTTTTTTCTGGAGTATGATTTGAACTTTTACATTCTTGGTTATCACTTGTGGTTTAAAAAAGCACAATAACACAACCCAAAAAACCAAAAAAACAACAACAAAAAGTAGCATGGAAATATATAAACTCCTTGGTTGTTTACTGGGATGTTATCTGCATTGGCTGACAAAAAATCAGTTATTTTTTTCTTTTTTACTTTATAACAAAAGGCAGCACACCTGACATAAATGTTTAAGTCTGACTCTTGGCTTCTTTTGCTTCTAGTAGAAGTAAATGTTTCATTTGGTATCAACTATAGTATGACTCAAATCAATTTACAGTACACTAGGATCAATTTTAGTATTTACTCTTACAGAAGTATTGCTTAGTATTAAAAGTGAGCTGTTAATTTCATTGTGACTGGGTAGTGCTCTTATGTAGTGTGATGTATACCTAATGAAATGCGCTAAGTTCTATAAACGGCATTTATTATTTTTTTGTGTTATTTTAAAGTTAGCAGTCCTATGGAAGCTTTAAGAATCCTGTGGAGTTGTTTTAGTACTTTAGATATCCCCTACTTTTTGGTACATAAAACAACGTGTGTGATGTTCTTTCGTTGTATGATGTATTTCTCTTCTTACAGGCGCAGAGAAGAGGATTATTAAGGATTATGAATTTAAGATTTTACGGCAGAAGGGGAACAGAACAGGTATTAAGGTCTAGGTCTACCTCAGAAATGTGTTTTGCTAACATAATTGTCCATTAATGACTGCGCAAGAGACTGATTGAAAGTAGTTTTTGATTTCTGCAACTTAAGAATTAACATTTCTATAAAACTTATCAAACATAGCATTAAATAGAATAGCTTAGCATTTATTTGGGTTTTTGAAAATGCAGTTAATTCATCTGCTGAAGCTTGAATCTTGAGTTTTTAACTGGTAGCGTTGTAGAAATCAATGCAAAAAGGGAAGTGTAAAAAGCCACCTAGTTATTTGTTAGTGAATGTAATGATTGTAGCATGTTAGGTGTGTTATATTTTCTACAAGAAGAGAGTAGATTGTGATAATGTTTCTCAGATATACGTTCAAGAGAGAAATAAGAGGAACAAAACCCAGCTTTCTGTACTACTCCACTCCTACTGAAAACCAAACAAAATATCCCTCACATTACAGCCTGAACTGTTCATACAGTGTGAGAAACAAAAACGAGTGAGTTCAAACTAATCATTTGTGGCTTAAATAAAGCAGATGCAAAGACTTGTTTTTTACAGTCTGTTGTGAGGTGCTATGGAAACGTTTTGCTGAGTAGGTTCAAAGGTTTATTACGTGTCGAACTTCTGCTACCAGGACACATGCAGTCCTAATGAAACTTGTTCTTCATAGAGTCAACTTGTTCTTAACAAGCTCTGGGTATGGGTGTTGTATTTTCCTCTCTCTTAAATGAGAGAGTGCTAAGTCTCGAGTGTCATGCTGAGGAGTAGCTGTGTGCTTTCTATGTTTCTAAGGCTTTGCAGACAGCGCCTCATGGCTTTCTTCTGCACGCCTTAGGAGCCACCCATGCAGTAGTGCACCACCTTCTCCTATCTCTTGCCTACTAGTTGTGTGCTACTTTTTGTTTGATTCCTTTTTTCATCCACCTTTCCCTTGTAAAAAAAAATAAAAAAGTTGCTTTCCCTTTTGTTTTACAAGGCAAGAACAGGGAAGAATCTATCTACCACCCCCACTGTGTCTTCTTGAAGGGAAGAATAGCTGAAGTGATATGGACTTTGGAAAGGACCCTAGAAGATTTTGGGATGTTTAGGTGACTAGTTAAAGGAAGAAGTTGCGTGCTTGATTGGGAGGGGAAAACAAATCTTTCTGAATCTCTCTCAAGCGTGGAACGCGAAGAGGTTTTATTTGCTTCACTGAAAATATAAAAGAGCAGGCTGAAGTGAACTTCTTTACTGGAAGGCTAGTACTGGGTGTAGCTGTACTAAACTTCAACTTCAATGCACTTGCTAGTACTAAATTTCCAGAGAAAAGCAGAGATTGTTTGTTATTTATCCTTGAATGTTTTAATCCGATTTTGGAGATTATGGTTTTATATGTGAGATACAATTTATATTCTTAGTGGGAAATTGGCAAGAATATTAAGGTATGACAGGCACAGCAGTTGGAAGACTTGTGTATTAGAACTAGCTGTACTGGGATTTGATTCTTTGTGTTGCTGACATAAATGACACCTACAAAATGTGAGGTGCTAACCTGCTGAGGTTTTCAGTACCTTGTTTTGCAGTTTTCTGAAGCTGACAAGCTGTTTACTGAGGCAACATTGCCTGATTTGCCAGAGGGCTGAATAATCTCTACAGATAACAATGCTTGGGGGGGTGGAGGTATAACTTTGAATATGTGAATGACCATCTAACATCTGAATTTAACAGCAAGAGAATTATTACTGATTACTGAGTGAACGTTGAGCTCTTTTTAAAATCTGTGCTATATACCACTGATCATTCACGTGAATGGGTTATATATATTGACTGTATGTTTGTATGTCATTTAACAGTCTTTGTCCTCTGTGCATGCACATGGATTTATAAAGAGAGAATTGCCATTAATAGGCACGTACAATACCTTGGCAAACTACAGCAGAGATTGCAGTACTCTAGCTGCATAAGAAAATAATCACAGAATACTTATGATTTTTTTTTCTAATGAAAGTAATTATTATTTTGTTTAAAAAGGCAATTTAATTCTCTTTTTTTTCAATTAAAACCACATTTTAAGCTTGTATTTAAGCAGTGCTTTCAGTAACTGCAAACCACTGTACAACAGTGAGCAAATTACTTGAGCGTTGTTGTTTCTGTGGCTTAGCTACAACTTAACAGCCTAAGAAATAAAATAAAAATTATTAAAGAAACACCCCTAAACTCAAACAAACCCCGAAAGAATATTTTCAAATGATACCTACCGCAAATGTCCTGTAGATATGACATTAAAACCTCTGAGTCGTATGAACATCTAACAACTTTTCTGTACTTCAGTTATGTTGATATTTTCCAAGAGGGAAGATGCTGCCTTAAGAATTGATTATCTGCAGACTTGAACATTTCTAACATTAGTATAGGAAGAATCATAATTATGAATTTTTAAAAAGCAAACTACGCTAACAAAATGGGGTTTATAAGCAGTGCACTTTTAAAGAATTTACATCCTGCTGTCTTTTAGTGACTCCCTGAGAATGATCTTTCTGAAAATGTTGAAGTTGTGTTGGGGATAGGGGAGATAAATATAAATTGTGTTTTCAGAAAATTTTATGCATTACCATTGGCACTAAGTTTGACTTCACAATTTGAGTGTATATTTCTTATGGAAATAGTGTATAGATCCAGTTGTAGTTGTGCTGGAGGAAATATTTTGCCTCCTGATACCCAGAGCGTAAGGAAAACTTAATCGAGGACAATTTTTGTAGCCTTGATGAAATTTACGTAGAATTGTGGAATGGCCTAGGCTGGAACGGACCTTAGAGA